TATTGCTAATTCTTTATCTATTCTTAAAATCTCTGCTTTGTGAGCTTCTTTTATGAGTCGGAACTCTTCTTCAGATTATAAAAATATTTTATTTGTATCGAATTTTTGATTAAGAAAATAACTTTAGAATCGCACAATCGAACGACAGTCAAGTGATTGTACACATCTGCAAATTTTGAAACAGCAATAAAACCACATTAGGAATTTGATTCTTTACTACCAAGGCATTGTTAGACAGATAAAAACCATATTAGTAATTTGATTCTTTACTACCAAGGCATTGTTAGACAGATTATTTGGTCACGCGATGTCTAAATTTTCAACTTATAAGACATATTGATCGATATGAATCTTACATTAGGACTCTCCCGAATTTAGCATGGAGTTCTATAGAAAGCGTGTTGAGAATTTTCCCTTCTTATTTGGCTCTGATGGATTGTTTAAAGATATTGAAAAAGATTTTACAACAAATCAAGACTTGTTTTACTCTCTCAATCAGGAAGTTGATTTATTGCGAAAGGAATTATCAAAGCTTAGTAACGAAGTAAAAATATGGGTGGACCGCAATGAGGCAGGAGGTCAGTATAGGTCAGCAGAAGCAAACATCAATCAAGATTATCCACCATCTTCACCTAAGGATGAAAGGTATAATATAGCACGAGCATATATTTCTAATTGGAAAACTTGTGTGGATAAGTTTAAAAATTGTAAGAGAATGTGCGATAAGCTCGTTGATCCTCTCGAAAAGGATATTCAAAAAACTCACAATAATATGAACCAGGTCCTTGACCAGCTAGAAAAACTGAGTGCAGCAGATAAAGATTTTTGCCTCGCAGAAAAAATTCGGATAAAAGATCATTTCAGTAAAATCAAAGATGATCTAGAAAAATATAAAAGTAGTATCAGTGCGACTAAAAAAGAAGTTGAAAAATATCGGGACATGCTCAATGAAATTATACGTCAACAAAATATGACACGATTAGCCAGAACTCCAGCATATAATAACCAACCACAAAATTGTTCAAATTGCAATTATCCCTTCGCATTTCTGAAATGGTGTATGCACTGCGATCGTAATCAGTTTAAGAAACAATATGAAAATAAAAGTTGGACAAGCGGTAACGTCCTAATCGATAATCTTATTCTTGACTCTCAACTTTCTATCAAGTATCCTAATGGATATATACAGTGGATTCCTTACGAGCAATTCACAAATATTGAATTTAAAGCCAATGGTGGTTTTGGGACTGTTTATAAGGCCAATTGGGTTGAAGGATTTGGTGTTTGGGATTATGCCCTTGGTAAGAGAGATCGACAAAATAACACACCTGTAGCTTTAAAAGAACTCAAAAGTTCGGAAAATATGGGTGAAGACTTTTCTAAAGAGGTAATATTTGCAGAAGCTAGCATGTACTGAATTATTTGTTACATATTACTAATATTATTAATTACATCAGATCGGGGCATATATAAAATCATCATCTAGTACAGTACTTCGTTGCTATGGTATTTCAAAAAATCCTAAAACTAAAAATTTCGTTATGGTTTTAACTTATGCTCATGGAGGAGATTTAAGAAATTACTTAATGTTGAGGTCTAAAAACTTGAATTGGGTAGATAGATTGGATATTTTGCGACATATACTATTTGGACTAAAAGACATCCATAGTAAAGGATTGGTCCACCATGATCTCCATCCGGGAAATCTCCTTCATTTTCGAAGAACAATTTCCATATCAGATTTGGGTCTGTGTGGTCCTGTTAATACAGATGCATATGGAAGTCAATACGGTGTTTTGTCATTTACAGCACCAGAAGTTCTATTTAAAAGACCTTATACCCAAGCAGCAGACATCTATAGCATAGGAATGATCATGTGGTCACTCACTTCTGGAAAACAACCATTCTATGATATAGCTGATCATGGAGCGTTGGCTTTCGACATTTGTTATAATAATTTTCGCCCAAATGTCGTTAAGGGAACACCTCCAGTTTACGAAGAATGGATGCGAAAATGTTGGCATGCGGATCCTGACAAGCGTCCAACCGTTAATGAGCTGTATGATGTCGTATTGACATGGCTTAATGGATTCGACAAAAAGGATATTCCAGAACAAACCAAACAATTTATTGAAAATAATTCTAAAGTAAAATACAATTTAGGACCAGTTACTAGTAGTGATTTAACAAAGATTACAGAAACGATTTCAGAAAATCTCACACCAATGGATAAAGAAGAAGAGTGTATGTAACAAATATTAGATTTTTCCTTATTGAGTACCAGCATTGGCTAATTTTTATATGCATAGTGGATGAATGGAATACGATCCAAACTAATGATTATCAGAATTGGTTATGTAAGTAAATTATTAGATTTATGCATCAAAACCAATAAGTTTCTAATACTAAACTATAATAGATAAAATTAATATTATGGGTCCTGGAGAAGATGTCGCTTCAATTGTTACGAAAAAGAATGTCTTTCAAATATTTCAATTGGATGTCAGTCGTGAAGGTAATCATTTACTAAGTTCGTAAAAAGCGAATAACATTTCTAATGCTTAACTTTTTACTATTCAAGACCTTCAACCAAATGTCAAAAAATTTCATGTACATATTCCAGAATAGTAAGTAATGCATCATTAGAAGATATAACAATAAATTCAGTGATTTTTGGCAAATTTCGTTTAATGTCATCATGGAGATAAATTAAAACTATTTAATAATCAATGAATGAAATTTTTAAATCCTAGAAAATCAAGACTTGCATTATAATTGCCGATCACGGAGTGAGATCGAAAAATCTTTATTACTTTTCACATAATTATAATTATTATTGTCGTGATGCTAGAAACGGCTGATGCTGGAAATTGGGGTCTTTTTTAAAAAGATATACCATACAAGAGTCCAACTTACGTTCTTTTATTATCAGCTCTAACCTAAACTATTAAATAAAATTTAAAAATGCACCTCAAAAAACTTTAATACGTATTAAAATAGATTCAATTTTTAGCATTAGCATTAGCTGTGAAATTTATATTATTACTATTAGGTGCAAAACCTGTTATAACAAAAACAAAAAGCATAAGGTTATATAATTGAAATTATTTGTATATCTCTTGTAAACGAATATTATTGGGATTATGGGGTTAAAATATAAATAATAATTAATACTAATTATTATTATTATTATTATTATTATTATTATTAAGCAAATATTATTTATATTTTAAGTGTACAAGTATATTATAAAACAAATAATAAAAATATAAAATATATTATCGTGACTATTAGGCCACACAAATTTAATGTATTGATTTTTATAACATGAAACTTTTAAACAAACCCGGCCAGTTTTTTTTTTTAAATTTCATATATAAAATTTTTATAAAATTTTTATAAATTTTTTTTTAAAAACCCGCCCGGTTATTAAAACATATAAAAAAAAACTAAAAGACTATCTCGACAGTTATAAGCTTTTTTTTATATTAGTTTATTTTTCATATTAGCTTTTGCACTTTTACTTTGCCAAATAAATTGGGTTAGGATTCTTACTCATCATTATCAGAAGAGTTTTGAATTTCTTCAGTAAAAGCTGAATCATTCAAAAGTTTATTAGAAAATTCCTGATATTCTTGCAAACTGTTTTCAAGCCCATCAAGTAAATTATCAGTGGAATCTAATTCGAAACTATTTGAATTATCATTATGGTCATCTAACTCAAATTAGAGGTCCAATCTGGATAAATCTGTCATCTGTTTATCTGTATCTGAATTATCCGGATAATTCGGATCAGATAAACAGACCTGATATCCGGATAATCCGACTGATATTTGGATAATTGTTCGGATATCAATAGTAAACAGATATCCGCTAACCGTTATCCGAGTATCCAAACCGAACTTTATCTAGATATCCGATAATTATTCAGATAAACGCTATCTGGATTGGAACTCTAACTCAAATGACATGTTAGCTAAACCACTTGAAAGATCATTCATATTAGTTACACCTGAAGAACCTGCAAAGTGTTGTTTAAATCCAAATTAGAATTAAATTCATTATCTTTAGCAACCTTTGAAATACTGTGAAACTTGATATTTTTAAATGAAATCTTTTTAGAAGAAAAATCTCTATCAATTTCAATTTCATTAATTTCTTCTATTTCCTTTTGTTTAAGTTTAGAAAGATTCGAAATGTTGCAAATTTGAGCAGAGTTATTCACAACTATTGGTTCAACTTCATTTGCAATATCAATACAAATATTCATATATTGAGTTAATCTATTGTGGGATGCAAAGATACGTGGGCAAAAGAAGCATTTGAAGTTAGACATTTTTAAAATAAAAATTTTTATTACTTTAAAAAAGGATAAAAGTATTATGATTTGAAGATTTAAGAATATAAATTTAATAGAAGTGAAATAATTAAATACAATAAAAAATAAATACATTTTAACTTATTTATATCTAAAGACTAAATTTAATATTTTTTTGTTTTAATGAATTAAATATATTTTGTTCATTATATTAATATTTAATAATTCTTTTGTTTACAAAATAATTTAAAAAAAGCAAAGTATTACAAATCAAAAAGAGTTATTTTAAATTTATTTCAAATCTATTAAGACAATTCGAATCATTTTGAATATATTAAAAATAATGCAAATGTTTCAAAACTTTACATTAATTAAATTTATTATGTAATTTTAAAATAAAATAAAGTTTATTATATCAAATAAATTCGCAACAATAAAAATTAATTTTAAATAATGCAAACTATACAAAACTGCATATTAATTAAATTCATTATGTTAATATTATTTTAAAATAGATTAAATTTTCAAATTGAATAATTTTAAACAATGCAAATTAATTTTAACTTATGCAAACTATTTTTAATCAGAATATTAATTAAATTTGTTATGTTAATATTATTTTAAAATAGGATAGATTTTAATTCCAAAGAAATTCGAATTGTTGTGAATTTATTTTAAAATATTTAAATTATTCCAAACTATATAAATTTAATTTATAATATTATATTATTTTAAAATAAATAAAGTTTATATTATTAGGCTATGCATTTAGTTTAGATTAATTTTTTAAACATTAAAATTTTTTGGAATAAGAGAATTATTTTAATATAAGTATATATATATATATAATTATATTTAAATCATGTAAAACTATCTTGAATTTAGTCAAGACGAAAACTAGCAAATTATTGCTAACTAGGACTAAGAAACTATACAAATGACTTTAAGGAAAGCAATAGAGTGACAAAAATAACAACACCAGCTTAGAAAGTCAATTGGGGCAAGCTTAAAGATAAAAGGAAAAATAGAAAAACACAAAACAGTACTACTTTCTAAAGACGAAAAATTTTTTTTAGAAATTTTTAGCAATTAGGGGGATTTAGTTTGACCCTGTAGTGCTGATCTGTTTACAATACCAAAATGAAACTAGTAAACAAACAAGAACGCGTTCAAATCTGGTGCAAAAATAAACCACTAAGCACGTGATACATAAATATATAAACAAACAAACAAACAATCATGTAAACAAGACCTAAAGTCGTACTGCACAGATTAAAATAAATAATAGAATTCAAGATCAATATGTAGTCAACAGTAGCACAAGATGTTCAAAAAGCATCTACAAATATAAACTGGTACGGGAAGTTAGACAAATATAAAAATATTTTCACAAAATCTGAAGAAGAGTTCCGACTCATAAAAGAAGCTCACAAAGCAGAGATTTTAAGAATAGATAAAGAATTAGCAATATTAACAGGAGCAGCTCCTGAAG